TTTCAGAGCAGACTCCTTCATGGGCTTCTGGTACCACAGGATTGTATTATAATAACTGATTGAGTGGCTGCAGCTGATTTGAACAGAATCCTGAGGACTTCCCAGTATTGATGGAGGCTCCTGATGGACATTGTTGCTCAGAGAAAGACCTGTTAAAAAAAAAAAAAGTTATGAAAGGATAAAGAAAAAGTAAACTCAAATCAATCAACCAGTTTCATCTAAAACTTACAGAAGAAGCAGAAAAGCAGAAGAGTGATCCTGCTGAGGTTTCTGCTCATGATGTCTTTATCTTCCTCTTCGTCTCTGTAGTGACTGACATTCAGACATGTTACCAGTTCAGCTCAGAGGGAGGAGACAAACGTGTACTTTGAGATGACTATAATACGTTCAATGAAAAATAGTCTAATCAAGTGTACAGGTCTACAGCTCCCCCTGTAGATGATTCTAAAACAATCATACATTCAGTTCTCAGTGACAGCAGCAGCAGGGTTTTTGTGCTGCTCCTTAAATCACCTGCATCACTGTGTTCTTTCACAGAGCAGAAATACACTCCGCTGTCTTCAGGCTGTAGATTTTTTACTGTCAGAGATCCAGTCTGAGCATTCTTCTTCTCTGCTGTAAACTTGTCCTTGTCAAAACCACTTTCATATTGATGATCACTGTATGCAGTTGTAAAAACGATCTGCTTCATTCCCTCTCCTGGAAGCTGTTGGTACCAATACATCTCGTCGTAAGTAGCACCCTTGGTGTGGCTGCAGTTGATGGTGGCAGACTGACCCTCATACGTCCACAGCAGACCAGTCTGGGTCACATCACTCCCATAAGCTAGACCGGAAGGAAGCAAATTCATATGAGGTTACAGAAACTCAAGCGTTTTAAAAGATACAACCATAAGAATACCATGAACTGGTGTACATGAAGTACCTCCAACACAGAGCAGAGCAGCAGAGTCTGATCAGAGCAGCTGGGATCATTACTGTGTTGTAAAGACTGAATCAGAGAGCTCAGTGGCTGTCAGTGTGTGTGATGGGAGCTCTGACATCACAGCACAGATGTGAAGGCTTGGATATGGGAGTGTCACATGACTGTCAGACATCTTGTGGTTGGATCTGAGGTCCCCCGACAGCAGAGCAGATACACAGGAAGAGGAGGTTTTAATGATGAGATCTTGATTCATTTACTGCCATTAACTGGTTGTAGATGCAGGTGTCCTCTTATTCAGAGTGTGTTTGTGTGGTGGATTATCAGAGAGGGTTATTGTACTGATGAGAAGGTAACTGAGTCACTGTGTCTACTAGCTGCACAGTAATAAATGCAGCTCTCTCCTTTTTGGAGTTTCAGGACATGAAGCTCAGCTTTCTTTGAGCCATCTCCTGTCATATTAAAACCCTGTTTGAAATCATTCTCATACACGGGGGTAGAGTATCGAATATATCCGATCAGTTTCAGAGCAGACTCCTTCATGGGTTTCTGGTACCACAGGATTGTATCATAAGAACTTATTGAGTGGCTGCAGCTGATTTTAACAGAATCCTGAGGACTTCCCAGTATTAATGAAGCTCCTGATGTACATTGTTGCTCAGAGAAAGACCTGTTTAAAAAAAGGAAAAATAATAAAAGGTTACGCAAAAGTTTAACTGAAACAAAGCAACCAGTTTAATCTCAAACTTACAGAAGAAGCAGAAAAGCAGAAGAGTGATCCTGCTGAGGTTTCTGCTCATGATGTCTTTATCTTCCTCTTTGTCTCTGTAATGACTGACATTCAGACATGTTACCAGTTCAGCTCAGAGGGAGGAGACAAAGATGTGTACTTCGAGATGACCATGAATGATAATAGTTTAATCAAGTCTACAGGTCTACAGCTCCCCCTGTAGATGATTCTAAAA